AAAAGCGCGCAAAGCCAAAGCATGCCACCGCACTATGTAATATTTCGAGCGTTTGGTGCCTGCACTCTTACGAAGGCAACCTTTTTCGATTTACCTTGAATTCCCACTAAACATCCTTGAATGGAATAGTACTACAATATCACATGGATCAGGTTTATGATTAGCGATAATGAAACGAACGTAATTATTATTATTCGGCTTGAGAGAGAGCGTAAGAAAAATTAACGTATATCAATTAAATTTTTCAGCCTCTCGGCCAAGGTTATTAACCTCCTCGTTATTATTTATTTCCCTTTTTTGAATATTTCTTTAATTCAGAAGAAAAAAGTGGTCGGCGCAGTTGGTCACATTATACCACATTTTCCGAAGCTCGTAAACCAATTTACCTCCTTCCCTGCCTCTCCCGTTCATTCATTCCCGAAGAGAGAGAGAGAGATTATTATTCCGGTAACGAATCGACCGATTCCTCAATCGAATGAATTACGCTTTAGTTATGAAATTCCGATGAGAGAAAAGGCGCATCTCTCACAGAACAAGAGTTGTTTAAGTTACACATTGTGAGGCCAGTGTAAATAACACGCTGAGGGTGCGTTAATTTCTTGGATATGTTAGGCAGTTTAGAAACTCGAAAGTCTTCCAGATGTTTGTTTGAATAAATTATCACCGAAAGTAAAATAATTTACATTTCGGTTCCCCCTTATTTTTTCTTTCTTTTTCTTACTCTTTCACTACTTCTTACTGAATGAATAAAATTTAATGGGTAAAACATTTTTCAGCATTTCTGTCGAATCGCGGCTTTCCTTCCTTTCATTCTCTCTCTCCAGCATTCAATTTATTGTACTGCATCACCCAGTGAGAAGACGCATCTGAATGTGCTTATCAAAATTATACACATTCTGTTACGTCGTTTTTTATTTCTTTGTTTTTATATCTATTCGTATGCTTCATTAGGACGACGCTGTAATGCATTTAAAATTCTTGTTATTTAGTAACGGCTGCATATGTAATAACAGGCCTCAATTCCATATTTCCTGTTTGCTATTGCTATTAAGTGAGCGAATGCGGAGGGTTGAAATGCAAACGTAACATAAGAAATTGCATATGCGAATTACAAGCAAAAGTACACACAATAAGATAAACAAAGCAAATAATTGAACACAACTGCGATACTTGTTAAAATTTCTTATTTAGAAAACTTTTAGTTTAATAATTAGTGAATCAAATATGTATATTAAAAAAAAGCTTTGATTATTTAATGTATCTTAGTATAATGTTTCTAGAATCACTTGATTCATGGCTATGAATCAAACGATAAATATTTAACATGATAATTGTGATTATTTATTTCAACACATAAAAATGGAAGGTCAGTCACCTAAAAGAAATAAACATATTATTAAATGTTGTTATGAATATTTCGTAATAATATTTTTCAATGAAATTACTAAATTAATAATTACTTTACATTGATTTATTACCACTACCTTCGGTTAATTATTATGCATACATAAATAATTGCAATGAGTTGCAGATAATAGAAGAAGAAAAAAAAAATACTTTCAAGAAGCGTACGTTTTACATAAATTGTAATACAATAACAATTCTACGCTATTTGTACATGCAGGATGTTTGAAATATGAAATTTATTGTGTTTTCTTGGAAAGGTTTTAAGATATTTAGAATTGGACACGTTTAGATATACAGATGTTACTTTATTATCGGATACAATTACATAAACAGTAAAATTTCAAAGGAAATTTTTTGATTTTATAGTGGAATAAAATATGTTTCGTAAAGTTTAAACATAAATTATTGAACTGAAGAATTGCTCAAATATCTTCATAATTCGAAGATATTTCAGAGAAAATGATCTGTTTGGAATGTTGATATAAATCATAAAAGCGCATTCCATGTTTCAACACATTTTAATAATTTTATTATACAAGAAAAAATATAGAAAAGTACTTATTTACGTATCATGTTTAATATTAATACTTACACATTGTTCTGAGATTTGTATAAAAAAAATATCATTAGTATTTACGTCTATCCACTATATTCTGTGAACTTCACATGTTAGGTAGGTATAAATACGTTTGTCAGAGGGTAAAATATCTACGAAGTATACAATTGCCGACAAAAATAAAAATCTCTGCTTCAGGGGGTGAGCTGGGTGCCAGGTTCTCAGACCACCCCATGTTCTTGTTTAGAAAACTTTTTATCTTGAATTGAGAAAATGTGGTCGCTTCGAACTTATACAAAAAAAACATATATACGAGGAAAGCAACGCACCTCATGTTTATTAATTTAAAATTAGAATTCAGACGGATCTTCACGACAACGAAATTTTGTCATTTATTTGATAATGTATTGTATAACCCTAGTGGCATAAAATCAGTACCAGATGTAAACAAGTAAGAAACATTCGTTTCTTTTCCAGTACTATTCATTAAATGCACTAACAACCGAACATAAATCAACTCTCTATATCCTATTGCATAATATATAGAAATATTGCAATTGACAATTAATTTTTGTTATACATAAGACACATTGCTTTTATAGAAAAATTAAGTGAATTTAATAAATAAATAAAGTTTTTCAGGCAACTGTGTGTTTGATGAATGTCCATATTTGTGTTTAATATGTTGACAATGTTCGTATAAATATGTTGTATATAAAATGCATACATTATTTCTTGTATGGAGCAATTTAAACAGTGGTATGTTATGACGAGGAACTTTAATTAAGAACAAACAAATATATGCAGGAGTCATGGCTTTTGTGCTTGTTGTTGATTTTAGCTGACTTGTAAAACGGTAGATGATGATTTCAACGAATACACAAAAAGAAAATGATGTGAACAAAATCAAATAGGAAACAATATTTGCATCCGTATTTACTGTTACGAAACATGATGATATTGAATAATTATAATTAGATATTACTCTTTTCCGTTTTTTTTGTTGGGTATTCAATTTAAAGGGATCTAGGGTTGGATGGAATTGCAAAGGTGGTGGTGGTGGTAACTTTAGACGTTACAGGCCAGGGGGGCTACTTGAGACGGAATCCTTTACAATACACGAAACCATACCGCCCATATCACTTTAAGTGATTTCGGGTCTGCCCTAGGATTTAATGTGCTGCCGCCTCATCCAGGTGTGCGGAATAAATTAATACGATGATGCAATGTATTAAGTATATTGAAAATATCGAAGGGGGAACGTTTCCTTCTTCGGAGGGACGACGCGTTGTCATGTGGATTGTGTAAAGAAGTCTTGCGCGCTCTGTTCGGCACCGTCGTCGCAGCCGCCTCCGACTGCCATATTTGTTTACACGCTTCGTCTCGCTCTTTCCTCTTGTTGTCTACGTCTCTTTGTTTTTTTTTTGACGTTATGCCTTTCTATGGTGTTTAGGTAGTAGAAGACCTGCAGGGGAAAGAAGGAAAAACCTTAGACCTTTTGAAAATGGTCCATCCAGAGGAGTTTGGGTATTGAGAGTCTTTGTATTGCGCTAATTTATTGGTGAAGATCGGGAAGAGTGTTAGTGTGTGTGCGTGCAGGAGGAGGAGGAGGGTTTTCCTTGTTGCAGCATCTGCCGGGAGCGCGGAGAAGGGTCTCAGGTATACCTACTGCACCCATACCCGGTATACCCCGGATAAAAGACGACCGTCGTGGAAATTCCGTGATCAGATGGGAGCTTAGGACGCAGGCGCGTTCGGTGCGCGCCAAGTTCCCGGTACAGATGGCAGATGTTTTGTAACCCCGAATTAACATCAGAACACGCTACCAGATCGCTTCGACGGAGTTTTCGGAATTTTTTTGCGGCACCACCGGGAGCCCGACAGTCGCGAAAACCACCCCGTCCCGTTCCGTGCACCCTCTGCTATCGGGATCGCGCGTTAAAATCCATTTCCGACAGGCCGTCCGTCGCAAAATCGGACGTTCCTCGACGTGTGCAGTACAGCTGCTCGATGGCAGTGGCTTGGCAACCATTTTATTTCTTCGATTAAACATGTTAATATTTCGGCCGTCCGGACGTCGCATTCGCATTGCCATCAATTAAACACTGTCCCAGTTGGCCACGGCGGAGGCGACCACCCCTCATCTCTGGTAAGCATCCCCTCGAACGTTTCCGTTTTTTCATTGTTTTGTTTTTACACTCCTCCGCGGCTGGGCCATTTGTTATGGCGGTTAGGAACGGACGTAAGAGTATTATTCATCCGCGTCTTCGGGGTTAACACTGCGCCCTTTAAACACGTTTAACAACCAGCAACAACCTCTCTTCCACATACATACAAACACACATTCCTTTTGCTCCCTTTTTGCAGCCATTTCTCGCCGGCCCCGCAACTCTTCGCAATCGCTAACGCCGCTCTCGAAGACAGACCCTCCCTAAAACTCGGGATTCCACACAGTTTCCTCTTTAATTTTAACTCGACTGCATTTAAAAAAAGAATTAATTCCATTGTACTATTCTTATCTGTCCCTCTCGATTCTCTAGTTCTCTTGCACACTCACACTTACAATCATTCTCTCTATCACGCACTCACTCAATCACACACTCACTTCTCCCAGATTAATTGTTACTCCATCATTTTCATTACATTCGTTACTCCATTTGGAGATTGCCGACAACAAACTGACTTGTACATTCCATGTTTACCTCGTATTGTTCATTAATAAACTTTTAAATGCTACACTTTTGAGGTTATTTATTTATGTCCAGTGCATTTTGCGTTCGTGCTCAAGTGCCTCGACTCTGCCCCCCAGTGTTTATTTCCCATCTTAACATCATCCTTTTCGAATCCGAATTTGTGAGAATGAAGTTTACATTGGAAAGTGGCGTTCCATGAAGGCCAACTGATTTCTATGATCTAGTCTAATCTAGTGTGCTTAGATAGATTTTTAGGTTAGTATTTCTTATTACATTTCTATCCATCTTATTGGATTACCTACTTTTATTCAAAGCAACAGTAACAGCAACATTTATTTGCATCCAATAGAAATAACAGCCAGTCAAAATAATACATGATTCATTAGGATTATAACTAGTACTAATAGCAATCTTAAATAGCAATCGTTCTCAACGAAACGACAATATGATTAATTATTTAGATATTTAATTGTCTCATATTCTGGATACAATTTTACGTATATCAATTATCATATGTATATGATCATAAAGTGATGAGACGCACATCCTGTGTGTACATGCTTTAAAATGGGAGTATATCAGTAGCTGAAAGCGTTCAGGTTAGGAGGGTCATTGGGTCAGAAAATTATGTTTAATAAATATCGAAATAATACCGAATCTGCGCCGCTGCAAGGATATGCAGGCAACATCCTGAAGATACGTAAAATTAGAAATGGCCTTTTCTCCGTGGAATAGAAACTGGACTGGTCAATTTATTTATGAACATGCTAATTCAACTAGCACTCAGCACACGTAAATAAGTAAACACGAAGAACCCCCATACACATTGTTATCTCAAGATGTAAGATGGATGCATCTTTCGTACGAAGCGAAATTTACTGTTGTTCTGTGCCGTTGTACTTTTTTATTGTATTAGGATTCTAAAGTATAAGTTCTAAACATGTTATAGATCCTTTTTTTTATATTAAAGATTCAATTAATGTCTGTGTTTTTTTTTGGTTCTGAATCGTGGTAATGAACAGCTAAGCAATTGTCAACTGAATTGGATTAGAAAGTTCAAGTTTCATCATCATATTCTTGGTTTATCGTGCCTTTTTTTTCTTGTTACAAAATTTTAATGAACTAATGTTGCAAGCAAATTACTCGGTGAGTACGTTTCCTTTTCGCTGTATCTGAAATGAAATTTTTGATAACGTTTATATAACCACAACTAATCTTTCTTTTTTTTATCAAAGTTCGTGATTATGTAGTATTTATTTTCTTGCTCACCACGAATATAAGATTTACAATGCATGTCACTAATAATTCATCGATTTTATTATCATCGTCAATTGTGTGTACTAATTTACAATTTTTTTGTTTCTGCAATTTCAGATAGTTTCTTTTTAAATTTTATTCGTTTTTAAATGAAACTCTGAGTTTGTGGCTCATTTTAAACGCAACTGGGGGTGGTGAAGATGCATCGTTCGACAACAAACAACAACAACAGCAGCAGCAACACTGCTGCAGCTCGGAGGGCGATCATGGAGAGCCCGAGGAACTTCACATCGATAGCTTCGAGTTCCACGCCCGAGATGATCGCATTCAAAACTCCGAGCCCCCACCTGCTGGACCACGAATACGTGACTCCTCAGAGCCAGATCATGATAGCCAGTCCGATGAGTGCACCGGCCGTCAAGAGAAAACTTAACATGGACACGCAAAATATAACGATACCAATGAAGCAAGAATTTAAAGCGCCACCGCCGAAACGGCCGAAGCGCGGGTCGCCGGCGAAGAAGAACACACGGTACGATACCTCATTAGGTTTACTGACAAAGAAATTTATTACTCTATTAGAAGAGCAACCGGATGGGGTGATTAATTTGAACGAGGCCTCGCAGAAACTGAACGTGCAGAAGAGAAGGATATACGATATCACTAACGTGCTGGAGGGTATCAATATACTTCAGAAGAAGTCGAAGAATCAGATTCAATGGAGGGGTAGCTCCATGGGAGACTACTGCATGACGTCACTGCAGGAAGAAGTGAACAATCTCGACGATATCGAAAATCATTTGGACCAATTGATCGCTACGGCAGAAGAGGAGCTCAGAGTCCTGAGCAAAAACAAAGTGTACGCATATATCACGTATCACGACCTTCGATCTATACCGAGGTTCAAAAACAAGACCATCATGGCCATCAAAGCGCCTCCCGACTCGAAACTGGATGTACCCGGCAACGTGGACGACGGCTACAAAATACAAATGAAGAGCGAGACTGGAGAAATCGAAGTGTTCCTCTGTCCGGAGAGCGTGTCTCCGGTTAAATCAAAGACTGTTCCTCCAGTAGATCCGCTCCTCAAAGATATTAAACTCAGCCCCGGCATGTTTGCCATCACGACCACACCGCCTGTACCTTTGCTGGATAGTCCCACATCAGATTACAAACCAATTTCATCAAAGGTAAATCTCAATCTATTATACCACCCACATCTTCATCAATTACTTCACTGTACTAACTTCATTCATATTTTTTGTTTTAGACTTGTAGACAGTTATCTTTCTCCAAAGATATAAAAGACCCAGTGATGCAGAGTGTTGTGAAAACGGATGGTTTGAATAAGCTAAGACAACCGTTAGTATTGGGTCAACAGGACTTGATCTTGAAACAGCAGCCTTTCTATGACATTATGGACTCCTTCGACAGTACACAAAATAACGAGCTCAGGGATCAAAGTGATTTAGGTGTAATGGTGAAAGAAGAACCCAATGGTATGCTCTCAGTTTTCCCTCTCTTCTCTATCTTTCATTTATACCAATCATTTGTCTGTCATGTATCGCACTAATCTATTTCGTAATAACGTGGGGGCTATTCCGGGTTTATTCTATGCAATAACTGATTACATTTCTTCAATCTTCACAAAAAAAATAATAATAATTGCTAATTTTAGAAATTCTTCAATTATATCCATTTATAGTAGTTGCGATAAAATGAAAAACATGTTGAACATCACCGGTCATAAATAGAATCCTCGACTCTTTCGTTTCATTGAAATTATGTCGATACATCCAAATACAGTAGATATTTAGTTTCGTTATTTATGATGGTTTCGTATGGGAGCTCTGACTGTGACTTGTGCTTATAAATCCTTTCCACATCACAGGCAGAGTTCTAACTATGCAGCCACTCTATCGCAACAGTTTCATAATAAATATGCCCCCAGCCTCTTCGAGAGAGAAAAAAATATGTCTGATCCAATTCAAAAGTTGGACGACCTTTTTCCCGTTTAATTTATTTAGAAATTTGTTTTTTTTTTGTCGACTTAAAAAAAATAGGACAAAAAATTCTTATTTGATTCATTTTCTTCTATTTGAATATACTTAACGACGATACTTTATTCTATTAATAATACGAGGAACTTAATATGCCACGTTTGTGGTCTTTAATGAAACACGAGAAAGAAGAATGAAAAATGAAGGGGAAAAAAAAACTTCTTGCTACATAAACATGAAAGAAACATGTTAGAATGATCATTAACACCCACTCCAATTTATGTAAGATACAGAATGAGTACATCTTGGAACCGGTTCCGATATTTCGAGAGTCTCAGATAAATAGAAAGATATGCGGCTTTCGGCCCTTACCGAAGGCCGAAAAGTAGAAGTATGACTGCGACCAATTTAGGGCCTCAAAGGAAGAAAAAAATTGAAGAGTGGCGCCATGGGGTATATACATTTTTTAATGAGGGGGGGTTTATGTGTCAACGCGCAGACGAAAGAGACGCGTTCAATGCAAAAGAAGCGACCGTTTGATTTTTCTTTTTTTCACCGTTAAACATTAATTTCTACCTCATTGGATTGTCTAAATTGATATGGAAATAATTGAGATTTTTGTACAAACTTTATTTCAACTTACTAACGTAACTAGGAGTATGCTTATTATTTTGTTTAACATTACTTAACTATGGTTAAAATGCAATAATGTCGTCCTATTATGTGTATGTGTTTTGGTTAATGTGTGCTTCTCTCTGCTTAGTGGTGTGATTAGCTGGGTTCTGTGTGTGTTATGTTTAAATTTCGTGAATCCGTAGCACCATGGGATTCAGCTCATCACGCTACTGTCTAACATCTGGCATGCTCGACTAATTCCTAATTGTAAATGATATGTGTGTTGTGTTTTCTGGTTGTTTGTGTGTAGTCCAATAAGAGCGAGAATTAATTCTATGATTTGTGTTTTGTCGTTCTCATTCAGGTATTACGCTGGACCCGATGTTCTGCGCTCCATTTGTGCCGCTGGAACCTGTGCCACATTCCCAGTACAATTTCAGTATGGACTCTGGTGAGGGTGTAGCTGATCTCTTTGATTCAATGGCATTCTGATCAGCACTGTACAGACAAATAAAGAAATATATTTCTATATATATACATGCTCCTTGTATATTTATTAAAAAAAAATTAATAATATGAAAGGGAGGGAGGATTAATAAAGGTCCTTTCACGGAGGAAAAAAAAAAGAGGAAGAAGACAAAAATAAGAAAACCTGTAAGAAGAGAAAGAAAACTTTTTGTGGGGGGAAAAAATGAGCGCGTGAATGTGATTTTTATGGACCAAAGTGCCTATTACTTTGTTGTTTTATTATTATTGTAATAATATCGTTTAGATTATTATAATTATTATTTTTTCCCATTCTATATTTTTTATTGAGAAAGAGACCACCACGTTTTGTTTTTATTTTTTTTATTGTTCAGTTCAGAAAGTTAAATTTGTGGCTTAAGTAATGTGTGCAGGGTTACGATTTTTTTTTAATTTTTCTTCCGACTTCTATATAAAAAAAACAATGCACTTTATTTAAAATTTTTATTACATTTTTTGAAAAATATTGTTTAAAAAAAGCCTCTTTTTTTTTGTTATTGTTCTTTGAAGATGAACCCTGTTTATTATTGTTATGTTTTGTTTCATTTCCTTGTGACTGAAGATGTAAACGAAACAAAAAAGAAAAAGAAAGATGAGATATGATTAATTGAAGAGGAGGGGAAGAAGAGACAAACTGGGGTGTTTTTTTTTTACTTTCTCGCTGTACAGTTTGAATTGATCGAGAAGGAGAAAGAATGCCCTGTACCTTATAAATATGAATGGAATCAAATGGTGCCATTGAATGCTGTAAATAAATTAATATTTATATTTGTACAAGTACAACAAATAGTCGACTCATTTGACACGTTTTTTAAAATAATATATTTCAGTATACCTATCAATACTTAAACAATTCGTATTCGTTTATTGTATCCACTACAACCTCATTTCCATCCCTACAACAACAACAACAACAAAAAACAACTAATGCCCAGTTCGAATATCAGACGTCTTTATTTCGATGCAATATTTCCATACTAGTCTTTATTTACAACAATAAAAAACGGAGAAAATGCAACTCATGAAGTACCATGCTTAAAAAATTAATATAGTTTAATTTCATACAAATCTTTTTGCTCACTGGGTGACCTATTTAGTACAATTTTGTTTTTGAATTGTTAAATATTACAATACTTATGTTTATTTGTTTTGTTTTAAATATGCACACACACACAAATGTATTATACATATATTTGTGTGCACGTTAAAATGATTAATGTCTATTTTTTATATATATATGTGAATTTCCAAAAGCCAATAGAGGCCTTATGTAATTCAAATACATTGATCATCAACATTCTAATTGTATATATATGATAATCATAAAAAAATAGCACTTAGTATTTTATTTTTATGTCATTTTCTTCTCGAAATGGAAAAGTATCTATCTTTAATTCCATATACTGTTTTCATTTGCATTGTTCTTGTTCATTGTCTTTTACTTTTAGATATAACAGTTTTTTTTTATTAATCTTTAATATTTTATTGACTCGTTCATATATTTTTTTTTTACTCACTGTTTATTTTAGTGGTCTCAGTCTTCAAACAATCCCTGTATATATTTATATATTGTGTTTCCAAAAAAAAAAAAACGATAAATAAACATACAAAATGAATTATCCTAATTGTTCTAACTATAAAGTTTGCCCTTAATTTTACATCAAACATGTTCATTTTCAAATAGCCTTATAAGTTGTAACATTCTAATGAAGCAATACAGAATATTTCAAATACGAGTAAACAAGATTGCCTACATTAATGTAATAAATGTTAACTATTGTCGCAAACTCTGACCGAAATAAGGTCGATAAGCACCGAAAGGATGAAGAAATGGGCCTTAATAAATAAAATATCACCTAAGAAATAAATTTTCTTAATAAATTTTAAGGAACGTTAAAAACTAGTCAAGATTATAGTTTGAATTTTTACTGTTATTCTTTGTATGTTGCATAGAACTACGTATAACAAAGATATAAAGTTACTCTACCTATCAGGGTACGATTTATTAGTAGCAATCTGCGGCTCCCAACGTTGTGATCAAAGAAATAAAACATATTTGAAATGTAGTTGCAGAAGGATTTCTATTTCAAAATTTTTGGAATTGTTGGATTTTTAAATCTTGCTTGTAAATATATTAAAAACATAACAAATATAAGTGAATGAATATCACAGGTGGGCACAACTCAATATGACCCAAATTACATAACGAGTGGGTTCTAAGGTATTGTTAGTTGCATTCAACGTCCACAAACACATCTTAACAGCACTCTAGATTTGACCCAAATTTGCACGCACGTTGCGTTTTGGTTTCATAGAAATTTGTAGATGATCCGAGACTGACCCAAA